GGGGGGGGGGGGGGGGAACAAAGAAGTCAGCATTTAAGTGAGAACATGCTTCAATATGCTGCATATGACTCATTTCTACCACAATAATTCCATGAATCTATGAATAAAGTTAGCTAGAATAACTCTTAAACAACAAAGGCCGACTTCAGATTTCATATTTGTTGAAATTTTCACATATTTCGAGAACACTGAAGGCCGCTGCTGTTAGACCAATTATCACAATAAAGCATCCAAAAACTGAAACAACAACTTTGGGCTTAATTACAACTTTGGTAGATAAAAAAGATTACAGCTTTTTGGTCAATCTTTCGATCCAATATAACAGATAATCAAAGCATCCAAAAGCTGAACAACAATTTTGGGCTACACAAAATGGTAATTACAGCTTTGGTAGATAAAAAAATTTACAGACAGCTTTAGTAGATAAAAAAATTACAGCTTTTTTGGACTTCATCAAAATAAACGTTAAAAGTTTTTTTGTCAATATCACTAAGTAAGAAAAAGATAAGTTAACTTTGTTGAAAAATCTTCCTATTTACCATTCAAAAGGATAGGAAAAGAAAAACTTACGGTTTGATGAATGCTTGAGGAGTTGGAGAGTGAATAGAACGGCGGAAGGGGATTTACACAGGCACACATATATGAACTCATACATATATGATCTGAAAAAAGGAAAATTCGACTGTGATTCGGATTGGGAATTATATATCTATTGGGATTCGGATTTTGGAAATTAGATCTGCTTTTTCCTCAAATTAAATCTTAGGATAGGCGTTGCGTGTTTACTCTATTTCCGTAACTATAATTTCATTTTATAAAATTTATATTTGAATTTAAAAAGGTGAATAATATTTTGTAATGCGCTTTACGCCTTTGCCTATATTAATAAATATATAATTAAAAATATATTATTAAATAATATATTTGAGTTACAAAATAAAGCTAAACAAGTATAAGTTCTTGAAATGTATTTAGATAGATCCATAAAGGAATGAACATGACAGTTTAAAAATATATATATATTAATATCATGTGCATGACTAGACCTTCATATAGAGTCACTAGAACCTATATGGATATAATACAATCACTAGATATAGGAGGGATAAAATCACTAGACCCACCAATAAAAGACCATGCTTACCAAGTATAATAGAGAATGCAGAAAATATCTAGTTCGTGTTGTCAACTCCAATGTCACAATATCTGAAATATAAAATAAATTGCCCGCGTAGGAGGCTGAGCACAATTTCATAGAAATCGTACCCCATAAGTATCATTGACTCCTTCCGATAAGGTTGGAACGATACTTTAGGGATATGTAAAAATATGTATGATAATTCATAAAATGAATAATGAAAATAAATAAACATTAAAAGCATTTCAATAAACTGTAAACCTTTTAATAAACTTGTAAATATTTCAATAGGCTGTAAATCTTTCAATAGGCTATAAGGTATAAATCTTTCTATACCCCAATCACTCCCTTGAAAATCTCTCAAAGAATCGCCTCTAACCGAGCTCCCAAAGTCAAATTATGAAATATACCCAAACCCTCGTTTTTGAGACTTTAAATTCTGCCTAGATATCCCTAAATCGCGATCGCGGAAAATATTTCGCGATTGCGAAGCACAAACTCAGTTGCCCAAGAATTAACCTTACGTGGTCGTCTAAATGCCCACGCGAACGTGAAGCACTGCCTCCTCAGACCTACGTGATCGCGTCCCTCTTCACGCGATCGCGAAGAACAAACGTGTGAACTCAACTCCTCCCTCATTTCCTCTTTGCGAACGCAGCCTAGCCCACGCGTTCACGATTGACTGCTTCACTAACCTACACGATCGCCACGTAGAGTAAAAATCAAACTGCCCAAAACAAGCCTTCCCGATTGTGGACCTCTCCACGCGATAACATAGAAGGAAACTAGACCTGAACACCAGCAACCTACAACAGTCTTTCAAGTCCTAATTTCACTCCGTTAACAATCTGAAATCCATTGGAGGCCTCTGGGACCTCAACCAAATATGCCAACATGTCCTAAAACATCATACGAACTCGCTCAAAGCAACAAATCACCTCAAACAACACTCAAACCACGAATCATGCATCAATTCAAGGCTAATGAACTCATGAACTTCCAACTTCTACATTCGATACCGAAAATTTGCAACTTCTACATTCCAACTTCTACATTTTGCAACTTCTACATTCGATCAAATCAAGTCTGATTGACCACAAATTTTGCACACAAGTCACAAATGACACAACGGACCTACTCCAACTTCCGGAACCAAATTCTAAGCTCGATAACCACAAAGTCAACTCTCGGTCAAGCTTCTCAATTTTCAAACCTTCTAATCTTTCAACTTTTGCCATTTCAAGTCTAAATCAACTACAGACCTCCAAATCACTATCTGGACACATTCCTAAGTCCAAAATTACCCTGCGGAGCTATTGGATCTGTTGAAACTACATTTTAGAGTCGTTTACACATGAGTCAAACTCCGATCAACCTTTTAAACTTAAGCTTCCAACCTTGAGACTAAGTGTCTCAACACATTCCGAAACATCCCTGAAACCGAACCAACTACCCTGGCAAAGTCGCATAATGACAATTGAGCATAGAATAAGCAGTAAATGGAGGAACGGGGGCTACAACACCTAAAATGACCGGCCGAGTTGTTACATCCTCCCTCTATTAAATAAACGTCCGTCCTCGAACGGGTCTAGAAACATAATCGGGGTCTCAAATAGGCAAGGATATCTGCTCCACATCTCCTGCTCGGTCTCCCAAGTAGCCTACTCAACTGGCTAACCTCTTCACTGCACCTTCACTAAAGTTATATTCTTTGACCTTAACTTTCGAACCTGCCGATCCAAAATGGCCATCGGCTCTATATCATAAGTCAAATCATCATCCAACTGAATCGTGCTGAAGTCCAAAACATGAGACGAATCACCGACATACTTTTGGAGTATAGAAACATGAAACACTAGATGAACACTCGACAGACTAGGCGGCAAGTCAAGCTTGTAAGACACCCTTCCAATCCTCTGAAGCACCTTAAAAGGCCCTATATACCGAGGTCTCAACTTTCCCTTCTTCCCAAATCTCATAACACCCTTCATGGGTGAAACCTTGAGGAGTATCGTCTCCCCCTACCATGTAAGCAACATCACGAACCTTCCTATAGGCGTAACTCTTCTGTCTAAACTGCGCCGTATGAAGCCGATCCTAAATTGACTTAACCTTGTCCAAAGCATCCTGAACTAAACCAGTACCTAATAGCCTAGCCTCACCCAGCTCAAACCATCCCACCGGAGGCACTGTATTAGTCGAGAAACCCTCCATGAAGTGACGATAATATTCGGCCAAGCCGAGAAAGCTCTGAATATCAGTAGCTGAAGATGGTATGGGCCAACTATGAACCACCTCTATCTTCTTTGGGTCCACCTTAATCCCCACGTGCCCCAAGTACGCCACTAAACTGAGCCAAAACTCTCACTTTGAGAACTTGGCATAAAGCTTCTCCTCCCTCAACCTTTGTAGTACAATCCTCAAATGATGTGCATGCTCATCCTGGCTATGTGAGTATACCAGGATACTATCAATGAATTCTATGACAAATGATTCAAGATATGGTTGAAATACACTATTCATCAGATGCCTCAAATTTTCCACCACCTCCAATTCCGAGTGATACA